TCATCCAATTACTATGTGTTCTATCAATCGACTTTGTTGGATAGATTGTAAAATCTGGTAACGGAACTACGCGTACTGTCGTTACTTGTGTAACCTCTTCCTCCGTTAGTCTTCTTTTAAGATTCATCGATTTAAATGTATCCCACAATGTAGACTTTTTTTGCTTCAATAAGATTCGTGGTCTCACATTTAATGAACAAATTTCCGATTTATATCCTTTTTTCAATTTACTTTGATTAATAAACTTTGAATCTATAAGTTCTACTTTGGATCCAAAGCAAGGTTTGTAAAATAATTCTTTTAAATAAGATTCTGTATTTTAATGATGCAAATATTTTCTTCAGATAAGTATTAAGAAGAACAAAACCCATCACGTAGTGAGGAAATATACTTTTACATACCAAAGTTACTATTGTTAAGCAAAGGGAGAGCCTTTGTCAGTGTAAACATCCAACCTATCGAACAATGATTATGTTATAATAAATTTCGGATTTGTATGAAATTAATTAATTAACTCACCTGTATCTTTTTCCGCATTATTTGAATAGTATTCGAGTAACATAGCTACGATAATTTTATCCATACGATTTTCACCTGAAGATTGTTCAATAGCAAGCTTCAAATCACTTTTTTTCTTTTCCATAGGCCATTTATATTGACTTGGAATATGCAAGTAACGATCAACTCTCGTTTTATCATGTTTATTGCCACCGGCTTCTTTATATCCGAATAAAATCCAATGTAGCAATGATATATGCTTTGATCGAATAATAATGGCCATGATTCCATATCGTACTTCTGATAAACTCCATAAATCCGGATCCTGTCTTATGCATTTTTTAATAAGTTTTTCCGTGCCTGCAACCAATTCTTTATATCTTAGATTTGTCGGCCCTACAATTTTGTCACTTCGTTTGTTTAGATACTTTATAGCAACGCATGAGTCTTTGAGGACATGAGCTTCGTTTGGCCAATGAATATGCTCTGTTATTTTTTTCTTTTCATCATTTGAATCAACAATCCATGACAAATTTAAAGATAATTCACTCTTTCCAATCTTTAAAGATGTAACTTCAATCATTTGGTTACTTGGATTCACCCAAATATATTCTAAATCACTTTTATGTTTAGAGTCATGACCCCTTTTTCTCCAAATTTGAACTGTTGTTTTTTCAATTATAAGTTGAATGGTTTTCTCATCATTGAGATAAGAAGATATGCGGTTATATTGCTTGTGATGAACCCAAGGTTCCTTATCTTTAACGACTAATCCTCGTTTTTGCTTATTGGTATCAAATTGTTGTCCATCTTGATTAATGGTAATTGGGCGAAGATCTTGTGATATATTATTAGATGATTTTAAATTACGTTTAATATCCGACAATTCAAGGACTGAATAAATAACCTCATCCTGTAAAGGTGCGAGAATTATTCCATTTGAACAAGCTATTGAGTGATTATTAAACTTTTGTAAGGAACTAAAAATGTCTGATTTGTCGACAAACTTTCGTACATCATTCTTAAAAGTGAAAAGGTCCCAAATATTTATCGTTAGAGTGAAGCCAATTTTTCTATTTTCATCATATTCAGATGCTTCTTCGGTGACAAATAATAATCTTTCATCATCGTCAATAAACGAAATTGAAAGAATTTTATTTACGGTAGTAAATTCTTTCTTTGCAACCTTAAGTCCATTTTCCATTAAATGGATCGTAATACAGTTTGTACCATCATTACAATATGCTAACAAATGGCCATGTTTTGAAATGGAAAAAATAGAATTTTTCGCTTTTTTTAAAAGAGATATTTCAAATTTCAATTCTAAATCCATAGATTGTAAATCATACATCTCGAGTAATTGATATTTATAATCTTCAACAAATAAATAATTTTGTTCAACGATAGAATTTAAAAAACTCGTATAATTTAAGCTATGATATATTTGATCAATTTTTATTTGAAGGTTTGTTGGAAGTTCATATTCTTCCGCGATCAAAAATCTTTTATCTATTGATCGATCGTTAAATAAAAGTGTTTGATGATTGATGAATGATTTTGTAATTCCAGACGCGTTCATGACTATTAGATTAGTGAATCCTTTCGATTGATCGGTCGAATTGTTATTCAAAAATCTAATTACCCCACCGCGCTTATCTACAGTGGTTCCGATACGCTCTTTTAACATTGTTGAATAGACAAACGTTCCTGCTGGATTAGAATCACCTTTTTCTGGATCAAAAATCTTTTCCGATTCATCATCCTTATCTTCACCAATTATTTTTATTCGTTCGTCACAAAAACTTGATACAGCTACGAATACAACTAAATCTTTTCCGATTTTTACATAATTGGAAATGGCCAAAGAAAAAGACACGTTTTTATCATCAATTTTCGTTTTACTACAATATCTAGTAATAGGAAACTTAGGGTAGTTAACGTCCTTTATAATTTCATGAGATTCAAAGTTGTTAACGTTAGGTTCTAATTCTTTAACGTTATATATTATAATTTCATAAGTTTCTAATCATATATAATGCGAATGAATAAAATAAGTGTTTACTTTAAAGGTGTAAAACTGAAAGAAATATAATTAATTAAAATTCATACCAGAATTAAAAGTTGCAGCAAGATCTCCATTCGAACTTATAGCTAAGTAAGTGGACGAAGTATCATACAAATCCCGACTTGGAGCATATATTGAATCTTGATCTGTAACTAGGGAGGCCTGAGGCATATCCATCTCCACTGTTACCACACCCTACTGTCCAAAACTTTTAGTAGCGAAAAAAAATAAACCATTCATTCTTGTAACCCGATGCAATTCAATAATAATAATTATTATTATTATTTAGTAAAAAAAACTTTACCTTGCGACCCAACCCGAAAGAAATTACCAAAAAAAAAAATTATTGATGATGAAATTAAATTTTCAAAATTATCTTCGAAAAAGTTTTGTAAAATAAATTTTTTTTTTTTTTTTGTCTTTTAATTAAAAAGAAATAAAATAAATGTAATGCGGATTTTTCAGTATCGGGGAGCAGCGCCGAATCGGGTAAGTATTTTAAAAATAAAACCGTCTTCTACGCTTTTTTATTGATTTTTAGGCTGTGTCGGGACGCAGCTTCGAATCGGGAATTATTTACCGAGTTGATTGCTAGTAAAATCAGGTTCCGGGAATTTTTTAACAAAATTGAGATTTTTATTGCATTTTTTGATGTTATTAAAATGCATTAAGCTCCGGAATCTGATCTTCCTATATAAACTATAAAAAACGACAAAACGTCTATATTTGGAAATAAGTTGAAATTTTTGGTTAGTATGATATGATCGTCAAAAAACTATTTTGGAAAATCAAATAAAGATTATGCTTCAGATGTCAATCTGCGTCAAGTGATATCTGACGCACCTCAGATGTCAATCAATACCTAACGCGCGTCACTTGTCAATTGACAAATAACGTGCGTTAGTTATCATCTGACGTGAGTTAGTTAACTGACGCAACATATATCAATTAATTTTGAAGAAAAAATCAGCTTACTAAAAATTCGTTATTCGATTTTTGCCAATAATTGATAATGGAAGTATTAAATGCAAAATTGTTATTTTTAGTCTCTTGTATTACAAACAGTTTCGGTCAGTACCTTTGTCAATATTAATGCTAAGTTTATAAAAGTCATAATCCAAAATATATTTATAAACGAATTAATGGATGAAATAAATTTTTTTTTAAATTAACTTTCTATTACTAGTTAAAAGTATCGGATCTTGATTCTACCATGGTTTCAATTTCGCTGTAGCATCCGTATAAATATCATTGCCCACCAACAGGATACAAGATTTATTTTTCGATCCCTATATTTTGATACTATGTTATTAAATTGTACTAAAATCAGAGATGGAAATTTACGAAATTAATAAATTTAAATAAGATGTACATTGGAGAATTTTCGTTCACTCACTTTACACAACATTAATATGATCCTAAAATAATGGTAATATTAAAAAAATTTTTTTTAGATTAGAAAACAATACTTTTAATAGATTTCTTGGAATCTTCACCTCTTTTTTTTCACAACATACAACTTTTTTTACTAATTCTAGATCAATATCCTTTAGTTTTTAAGTGACGCGATCTTCTAAAGTCTCAGATTTAATCGAATTGTTATGCGAGCAGCTAAATAAGGCATTTGCACATAATATTCTATGATAGGGATCATCATCGTATTTACTTACAATAATCATAAAGCAAATATATTATATGTTCTTGATATATTTACTTGTCCAAATTAAGATCATAAATCAATCAATCGATCTTTCCCTAAAGAAAATTAGTTGTATTTTTGATAATTGTAATTAATACTATAAAACAAACTAACTTTTATATCACACTGTATGTAACACTCCGTAATTGTAACACTTCCTATGTAACACGCTGTAAAAAATTTTAATTTTTTTTATTAATGCTCCTAACATAAAAACTATGAAAAAATCTAATTTCACACTTGTTTTGTCATGGACGACCACCATGACACCTGCTTCCACAATTTTCTCCAACCTTTTTACAACAACATTTATTGCTATTACAGTTACGTTTACAATTGCAAATAGCACCTGTGACAAGTCCAGTGCTTTGTAGGCGTCGGTTTCTCTGACAGAAATTTTGTTAGAAGGCAAATTGTTAAGCTCAGGAAAGTGTATTGTGCCAAGTGGTTTAATTTCTCTTGGTGGGTAATATACATTAATAATCCCAAATTTTGATCCTAAAACATATTGATCATTTTCAGTAATTTCTATAATTTTGCATGGAAGAGTAGGTCTGTCAATATCAGAATTATCTATTTTTGAAATTACAATCCTCATTAAATCTTCCACTTCATATCTATTTGGCCATTTTTTCTTATTCATCTGGTTAACCATCTTATCTATGTAAATTTGAAGGTCCTAACAAGCTGATTTTCTAAAATATCATAACCTGTAGTTAGAACTTCATTTATTATAGCTGTATTTGTGATATTAACAAGAATCAGATCAATAGGAATTGGATGATATTGTAAAATTCTATAGTATGCTCATTTTCATCTAAATTATAAGTATCACTTGAATTTGTACTGAGTTTATTGTTTTAATGCTATCAATACTAATACAATCATTTTCTCTTTCTTCTATTTTGCCTATATTTTTTATTATTGATAGTAAAGGTGTAAGAACTGATGGTGAAGAAATAGAAGCAGATAAAGACATAGAAATTAATGATGAAGGTGCAAATATTGATGATGATAAAGCAAAGACTAATAATAAAAGAATAGATGCAAGTAAAGATGTGAATATTAATGATAAAAGTGCAGAATTTAATAATAAAAAATAGGAATAAATAAAGACATAGAAATTAATGATGTAGATGTAAAAATTGATAATGATAAAGCAGAAGTCAATGGTAAAGGGGTAGGAACTGATATTACATTAATTTGAATTTAAAAATATATTATTGCATTAAAATTTTGAATAATTATTAAATTTTTATAAAAAAAAATTTAATATTATCATTTACTATATCATCTTTCAAATCTTCAACTGAATATGCAAAATCTTTTATTGTAACTTTTTCAGAAATACATTCTTCATCATAAATACCTTTACTAAATAAATATTCAATTAAAGTACAACCTTTATTAGAGTTTTGAATGAGTTAAGTCAAGTCAAGTTTAAAGGTTAACTCTATTTGACTTTCTTTTTTTTGAATTGAGTCAAGTCGAGTTTATTTTATAAATCTTTTAACTTAACTTGATTCAAATTATAATAAATTTTAAACTTAACTCAATTTGACTCAACTTAATTTTAACTTGACTCGATTTTAACTTAAATTTATTTAAGTTAAATCAAATTCAAATATCAAATTTAAATTAACTTATAAATATTTAAATATAAAAAAAATAAAATAAAATAAAATAAAATAAAGAAAAAAATTAAACAAAAAAAAATAAAAAAAAAGATTAAGAAGAGAAAAAGGAAAATAATAGAAAAAATTAGAAGAATAAAATGATCAGAAAGGGGATAAAGAAAATTTAAAAAAAAATAAAAATAAAATAAAATAAAAATAA